CATAATAGAATTAAAGAGATGCCCAAAGACATTTAGCAAGATTTGAAAACTCATAAGAAACTCAGATAACCGAAAACATTATTTTCAGGCATTTCCAATTCTGAAATAATCCTAAACATCTGCAAGTGTTTAACGTGGTAGGAAACACAATAGAGAAGCTGGAAAAAAAAAACTCCCATACGATATACAGCTATTATTATTGTTGTTCCTTTTGATTTTCAATGACAGCAGCAAAGCTAATGATATGTGCATTTTGCATATATGTCTCTATACGTAGGAAGATTCCTGGATAAAGATTCCAAGTAAGCTACCAACATCCTGCTCACAATATCTGAACAAATCAAATAAGGAGCAGTTTGAAACCTCTAGATCAAACAATAGTATGAACAATGTTTGATAATAAAAATATAGTTGGAGAAAATATATGTTTTTAGTATGAAAATTGAAAAGTATGTTTGATTGAACAGAATGCTTTGCTGCAATCAAAACAAGTTGATCCTTTCTATGTATGATAAAGTATACATCATCATATACTAATTGCAGTGTGGGTACAAGTGTTTGATGTACTAAGACTAATAAGGCAAAATAAAATGTACATAATTTTTTTATTATGTGTAACTTGAGAATCTTTCATAGTCTGAAATAAACATGAGAAGTTTAATCGAATTTGAGTTGTATGTATTTGGTGGCATAAATGCTCACTTGTTTCTCGCTGTAGGTCGTCTTGTCTCATTTATGACATGCACAGATTAGCATGAAAACTGCTAATTCAATTTTCAGTTGGAAATATTTGTTGGCATCAATACTCATCTGTTTCTTGCTACAGATCAGCTTGTCTCGATTGATATCTGAACCTGAGATTAAAGATCCATCAAAATTGCAATGTTAATTAGTTAAAAGTGATAACAACATGATGCAAAAGTATGACAGTACAGAATATCTAAATTAAAACAACACAGGACCTGCCTGGTTCCTCTAATGTAGAAGAAAGTAACTTTTTGAAATCTCAGCCAATCACCAATGTAGAATCAGTTCCTGCAATCTGTGCACAAATTAGTAAGATAGTGAGCCCACGGCATTGCGGGGGCGCCGAGGAGGATGGGGGAGCAGAGTGGCTGCATTAGCAACCATGCAATGGTTAGAAAGTAGATAAGAATGAACATAGGCAGTATAGAACAATTAGTGATATAGATTAGCATATTGCAAACTCGAAAGGCCTCATGACATGTAGGACATGGATATGTAGGGTAATATAGTCCTGAAGAGAAATAGCAAAAATGGCATGGTGATAATGGTACCAGCGGACTGAGCAGGTAGAACGGTGATTCTAGATAATGAAGGCAACATGGATCAAGAGGCTGTATTTTTGGAGAACAAGTAAGATTTGAGCTGAACATGATGGAGGGCAGACCTATCAGCATAATATGAGAACTGCAGATTCCAAGTACCTGTCTTTTAGTTGCTGCTCTTTGAATGTCCACTCTCAGAACAATGTCACGACCTTTACCCATGTAGTGATGAATCTAGATGGAAAAAGTAACATGTATGAGAACTTTATGCAGGGTGAGTTTTGGGAGAAAAAAAAACACTTGGTCAGACCTTTTCTAGAATTTTACACCCCAAATACAGACAAATTCTTGGGCTCCATTATCATTTCATTTTTAGGAGAACTATGAATTAGTATCAATAGATATTAGCATATTCTTTCAATCAGATTCTTTCAATCAAGTCAATGTAAAGGGGAATTGAGTAAACAACACATAGCACTACAGAATGCTAAAGACATTGAAGCTTGAAAGTCAGTAAGCAACATTTTTTCCACAAATCCATAGAATTAAAGCAATACTCCATAAGATGTTGGAAAGCTGTGTACTTATCCTGCTGGAACCGAACAATATACCTTCTTGGAACAGAGGCTTCATCATGCTTCTTGTCAGCTGTAGCAGGAGAAGAAGCGTTCGTCAGCATTGGTTGAACACAAAGAAACTCATAGGAGCAAAAGGGAAATATCCATTTATTTTCTGCAGTGAAAGCATGAAAACTCTCCGTTTTCGGTCCTGGAAGCTGCAAACAGTCTCCGCCTGGTGCGCCTAAAATCGGCGGGTTGCTCAGATTGAAGGGGAATGGAACTCTCGCAAGCTGCAGGCACGAACACGAAAGAATTTTAAATATGCTTAGGTGTAGTGATAAATCTGATCACTACTCCTTGTGTGTGCGTTTCACCAGCAGCATCGACTGAGTTCAATTGTAAAGTACGCATCGAAAATATCCTGATTTATCCATACCTTGATGATACATATGCAGGTCGTGGCCATTCATGGACCTGCAATTAAAACATCCACGAACCTGCAGCTAAAAGGTAGTGAACATCGTACCGTGAATTTGACATTCTGTTGAGCACATTACATGCAGCGGCCACCAAGAACAGGAGAGGAAGCATACCAGGAGTTGTGTCTCTTGAACGGACAGCATGTTGATGGCCGCCAGCGATGGTAATCGCGTGGGAAAATGGATCTGCGGCCAGAGGTACCTGCCCACTAGGGATTAAAAGCTAAACAAAAATAAGAAAAGAGGCGGAGGTGAAGCTCCGGTGGGCGGCACGGCAACGGAATCGGAGGAACCGGAGATCGAGTGGAGGAGGCATACACCAGTGGGCTACATCTGCCTTCTCCTGCGAGGTCAGCAGTAGCATCGAGGGGAGGTACATCTAGCTTCTCCGGTGATGACAGCAGCAGCGTGCAGGCGAGCGCAGCCGCGGTACGGCGTGCGTGGACGCGAGGACGCTGCGTGGGGGCGGGGACGGCAGAGGTGACCGTGGCGGTGTCGCTGTCGACGGCGCGGAGCGGGGGACGGCGGGTGGACGCGAGGACGCGGCGTGGAGCCGGGGCGGCGCCGCTCCAGATGGCGCGGAGTTGGGGACGGCGGCTGCGAGGACGCGGCGAGGAGGACAGGCTTGGGCGGCGGCGGAAGACGGGCCGCTGCGGCGCGGAGCGTGGGGCGCACCCGCCGCCGCATCAGGAGGGAAGGAGAGAGAGAGAGGAAGGGGAGGGCGAGATGGAGGTGAGAGGCTAAATTTTGGTAAAGTTCGATGGTTTTTTTGGAAAAAAATATGAGAGGAGGCCTAGACTGCGGGTTGATTCGACTAAAGTTCGAGGGTTTTTTTGAAAAAAAGACCACGGCTCGCCCAATCTGGGCCGTCCTCGCGCCCGATCCAACGGCCGCGAAAAGCAGGTGACGTGGCACGCTGGCTGGCCGCGGTATGGGCGCAGGATTCATATAGAAAGATGGTAATACCAGCGGGAGCAGCAAACTAGCAGCAGCAGGCAGTCCGCATCAAGCAACGACAGGTGCATGAACCTAGCAACCTAGGACCAGGTGCAGCAGGTGGGTGGGCAAATTGTTGCTATGGCTAATTTTATAAAGCTAATTTAATATGAGAGAAAAATACTATTTTATAATTAAAAAAGTAGAACTATTTCTGATCACCGATGGGTAGATTAGCCCCGTCTTGCCCTGGTTTGCGGTTTCCAACCCGTTGGAAGCGACTGCGCGGAAGTTGTTACCAGCATCGTCATACGGTCAGAGGTGTTGTCGTTTTTTTAATTATATAAACGTTTCAACGCGCGTTGCAACTTGCAAACGACCCCGGCTGGCTTGCCGAACAAAGACATGATTTTAAAATATGATATATTCGTGATATTTTATTTATTGGGGGGTGCATTCGGGTGCGGTTACCCATCGGGTATTTTTACCAACACGGGTACAGACATGTGTAGATTCTTTTACCCTTGCGTAAGTATAGGTATTTTAGTGTGTAGATGTCGGGTATCTATACCCGGTATCCGAAACCAAATGATTAAAGAAGCGTCAGCTTCGATTGTTTGAATAAACACCGGCTAGTAAATTTATAATTGTTGCGCGTTAGGCTCGGATGGTGTACTAAAGGACACAAGGTTTATACTGGTTCGGACAGAATGTCCTTACGTCCAGTTTGCTGCTGCTCATGTTATTAGTACCAAAAAAGGTTTGTAGTAGGGGTACAAACAGTCGAGAGAGGGACATGTCCTAAGTCTCTGGTGGAAAGGTCAAAAGGACGTCAAGAACTCGGTTGCTGCTTGACTGTGTGTTGTGTGTGGAATTGATCGGTCGTCTTCCGTATGAAAAAATGATTCGTCCCCCTAGTGGGGTGCCCTGCCCTCCCTTCTATAGACTAAGGGGGAGCAGGGGTTACAGGAGAAAGAGGAACAAACCAAAGGTAGAGAAGGTACTTCGAGGGAGCCGGGTCTTCCTTTTTCCCTGTCCAACTGTCCTGCTAACATGGCAGACCGTGTCAGGAATGGCGTGTTCGCTGACCCTTATAGGGCCGTGCCCTGGCCTCTTTCAGCAAGTGGGTGCGTCCCTTCCTACACGGCCGACCGGTGCGTGGCGTGTCGAGAGGCCGAGTGTGACCCTTGGGGAGTAGTAGAGCGGGAAGTGACCATATGTCCGTCACTGTAGATGATGTGAGTTCTGTCTTGGATCGTAGTGGTTGTCGTATGCTTGTGTTATTATCCGCGTCCGAGGGCTAGTGGCGGCGCCTACAACACTGTGGGACAAAAGTCGGTGTCTACAACACTGTTCGGGCTCTGTCAGGTCAAAAAGGGCCTAAAGCGCCCGTCCTGTCGAATCCTGATAGTACCTTCCTACAGGCATGTAGGGCATGGCCCTCGGTACCGCGGTTGACTCGAATGTCTTGTCGTACCTTGTGCTTGTCTTTATGAAGGAGCAGGGCGCAGTCGTCGGGCGAGGCGGAGCCCGCCCTCGGACGTCGGGTGGGGCGGAGCCAGCCCTCGGACGTCGGGCGAGGCGAGCCGACCCTCAACCGTCGGGTGGTGGAGCACGCCCTCGGTCGTCGGCGGAGCCCACCCCTCGAACGTCCGGGCGAGCAAAAGCCAACCCACGGCTACCGTCGGGCAAAGCGAGCCAGACCCTCGGTTTGTCGGGCGGCGGAACCAATCTTTAAATCGTTCGGGCAAGAAGCGTAGTAGCGTTCTTGTCGGCCGGAAGCGTCAACGTTCGATGGTTATTAGTTCCACCTCATTGGGTACCCGGTATTAGGTCTTGACGGTCCGTCGCCTCATCCGATGGTTAAAAACGTAACTATGGCCTCGTCCAGACTCGAGGGCGAGGTTTCCGCTCTCGTCCAAACCCCGAGGACGGACCGCCTCGTCCGGCGTCGAGGGCGAGGTTTCGCCGTCGTCCAAGCCGACCCCGTGGCTGGCACGCCTGCGCCGACACCGAGGGCGAGGTTTCTTTATCGTCCAACCCAGGGGTCCGGGACACGCCTCGTCCGGTCTCACGGGAGGGCCCATACCGTCCAACCCTCCGAGGTTGGATTCCGTCTCGCCCGCTCCCGGGAGAGATTTTACGCCTCGCCCGATCCTTGGGGATCAGATCGCTACGGACCAAAGCGGTGGTCCTGTGTAGGCTTCGAACCGCTTTAACCACTATGGCATGGAGGCACTGCGCCCGAAGCACGTCTCGGACGCTGCGTCTGATGAGACTAGTGGTCACATCGAACCATCTTTGAAAACTCACATCACCCACGATGATGGGCCAGCGTGAATCACTGTCTTGCCAACTCCTGCTCGACCACCGTCAACATCGATCAACCGGCGTCGGTTGGTAGGCATTTGTCATGCGCCCCCCCCCCACCGCAAGGCTTCTGTCAGGGGACCTCTGACCATTCCATCCGCTCGGATGGGATGGAAGACAAGAATGATGCACGACGCCCGCACGTATGTCGCAGCGGCCAACAGGACCTCGGTACGACGCCACGGCCACCACGATCTATAGGGTCAGCGGGACCCACGTAAAGAGGAGGACGGCACATCTCCGGGAGCCTTATTTTCTCTTTCTTTTTTCCTCTTTCCTTCGGCTGTAACCCCTATTCTCCATTGGGATATAAAAGGGAAAGCAGGTCATCCCATTAGGGGGGTCAATTCATTGAACAAACGCATCGCATATCACACCGTATCACCACAGAGACTTGGGAGCTCCTTCGTCTCTCGCCAGTTTGTAACCCCCTACTACAAACTCAGTGCTAGTAACACGAGCAGCTCGAAACTAGACGTAGGGACATTCGGCCCGAACCAGTATAATCCTTGTATCCTCTTAGCACACCATCCGGATCAGACGCGCAATATACAATTTTACTAGCCGGTGCTTACTCGAAACACCGACAGTAGATTTCTTGTCTAGCGATATGAGTATGGGATGACATTACTCGACAAGTATATACCCATTGCCATCTCTAGTCATCCTCCATGTCGATTTATTGCAAGCTCCACCATGGTTTGATGCCTGATAGTATGTCTCACTACAGATTTGCCGCCTCCGCACACACAGATCTGTGGCCTCCCATGGATCTGCCACATTCTCACCATGAATGGGCCGATGAGGGATGTTGACGACGATGGAAGATGGAGAGGAAGACCAATGCATAATGGACCTGCCGAGATATCCATGGATCCACCCCGGTCTCGAGGGCACTCCCAACCCATAAACTAAGTTTTATATTCACTAATTAGGGTACTAACTAAATAAAATGGTGATGCGATACAAATTAAAGAAGAGAGATGAAGAAATGATTTCTTAGATAAGAATCTATATCTACATGGGAATCAAGATATAAATAGATGTGATAGGTATATGATGATAGAAAGAGAAGACATATTAAAAATTATTTTGAAACAACTATATCGAGGGATATGATTTTTTATATGTAGTGTCTACGTGATTTGACAAGCATAAAAACTATCTCATAGTTTCTAGGTTAACAGTTTTTTAAAAAACTCAATGTTGATGTACTTATGACATCTTCGCATCACGGGAGGATACAATGCAACCACCATTGTGGCCGGGAAAAGACAGACCGCCGCCACCGGTAAAAGAGCCAACGCTGCTCCATGCCCCATCAACAGTGTCTGAGCGGGTTAAGATCCGTCTGGACCTAGATGATACCAAAGTCAAACTCATAGACCTAGAAATAGCATTTGAGAGTAGAGGACCCATGTGACACCCCTTGCCAAGTTGGAGGATCCACATTACATGTAGGGGCCATGTTAATTTACTGATTAGCGTGTCATGTCAGCGTATATAAGCGGGAGTTAGGACTCGTTTGGACTGGATGATACCCAAAGCCAAGTTTATCGACCCAGTAATAATATTTTGAGAGTAAAAGGACCTAGATAACACCCTTGTCAAGTCGAAGGACCGGCCATGAATTTTTCTCAAATAAAAAAATGCATGTTTATGAAAATGGCTTTGTATTAGTGATTGACACAATGACAGTATTTGCAAGGAATAAGATGTTCTCTCTCTATGGAAACGTCATTTTTGTTTGGCAAACTTTTGTCGTCGAATGGATTGGCCTATGGGACATTATTTCCACGAGAGATAATGCTCGAAGGCCGCATGCAGGTACGGTTGGT